TTCGGTCTTTTTTTGTTAATTTAGCAAAAAATAAAAACCCCGGGCAGTGATTAAATACCACCAAAAGAAAGATCTAGTTGTGTGAAGAAAATTATAAAATTTTAGTTTGGGTACAATGTTGTATGACCGCGCAATTGTCATTCAAAGTGTGAGCGCTGAAACCTGAAAAATGGCCTGGGAGGGAAGGGGGTAAAAGTGCCCGGTATGGAAATGGTTAAGCACAAATTCGACCACTTTCTAATACAAAAACAGAATTACAAAAGTACAACTACAAACAGCAGGCAACAGTAGTTGTACACAAATGGAACAGAATCAGATTAGATGTTCTAGATAACATATCAAAGAAGTAGAGATAAAACATACATTTTCGGTTAGTTAGTGCTCAGAAAGGGTTGGATTTACAGTAATACCTCGGTTTACAAATTTAATTTGTTCTGCAGGATTTTTCGTATAGCAAAAAATTTGTAAACTGAAAAGCCGTTTCCCATAGGAATGCATTGAAAACGAATTAATCCGTTCCGGAGATCAGAAAAAAGTAAACGCTACTAAAATACAGCATGAGTTATTTTATCAAGTCATGCGGTAATTTAGTAGTGACAACCATGTGTAAGGGCTCGTTCACACTTGGCTGTTTTACCAACGCTTGCCAAACGCCCCTATAGCGTTTGGCAAGCGTTGGTCTGGCGTTTGCGGAGCGGTTTTTAACGCTCTGCAAACGCCGCATGCGCAGTTTAGCGGCGGTTGCCAAGCGTTAATAACGCTCCACAAACGCCTATAATTCAGTTTGAGTGGTGTTACCGTTCCGCAAACGCCCCGCAACTGCACACGCCAGCCGGGCGTTTGCGGAGCGGCACCATAGACGAGAATAGGAGGCTTCAACGCCTTCTGACTCGACCAGAGGCGTCCGTTTTGCCACAAACGCTCGTTAGAACAGCACCATGTGCTGTAATGTGCAGAATTGGCAGAGGCGTTTGGGAAGCGGTAAAAACGCTTCCCAAATGCCTCTCTGCCGCCTGCACACAACGCTAGTGTGAACGTAGCCTTAATGTTTCAGCTGTCAGCGGGGTTCCCCACTGACAGCTGAATGTAAAAGAATTAGAGGCAATTAAAAAAAGAAAAAAAAAAATTATTCGAGCATGCAGCCCGGCAGGTCAAGAAAGGAGGGGGGGGGGGGGGGAGCCGCCGTCACTGCCGCCCCGAAAAAAGAATTTATAAAAAAAACTCCGCTTCCAACGATGGCTTTCAGCCTTGTGCCTGCTCTGGTGATTTGACAGTTCATAAATATGTAAGGGGCGGGGCCACCCAGGGACATCACGCATGTGACCCGACTCCATGTGACATCAATGTTAAAGTGGGCTTCCCGATTCCGATAAGCCCCCTGCCGCAGACCCCCACAACCACCAGCTAGGGTTGTGGGGAAGAGGCCCTTATGCCCCCCCTGCCCCAAAGCACCCCCTCATGTTGAGGGCATGTGGCCTGGTATGGTTCAGGAGGGGGGGCGCTCGCTCCCCCCCCCCCCTTTCCTGACCTGCCGGGCTGCATGCTCGAATAAGTGTCTGGTACAGATTATGGGGGGAAGGGGGGCCCCCACGCCAATTTTTTTTTTGTTAACTGTGGCGTGGAAGTTCCCCTCAAAATCCATACAAGACCCAAAGGGCTTTATATGGATGGGAGGGGGGATCCCACACCATTTTCTATTTATTATGGTGCCGGTTTTTAAAACGTAATAACTGCTTTTTTTTTTTTCTTCACTATAGCTCAGAAATTCAGCTGTCGCTTTCCCCCCAGCTAAAAGAAAGAAAGTTTTCTTTTAGTTTATTTCCATAAGAGAAACAATGTTTCCTTTTAGTTTCTTAAAAGAAAAAAGTTTCTGTTAACTCTGGGGAGTGACAGCTAATTCTGTGAGCTATAGTGAAGAAAAAAAAAAAAAGCTGGCAATTGCATTTAAAAATCAGCACTGACATATGCTTCTTATTGCGAAAAAAAAAAAAAAAAAAACGTAAAAAATTCGTAAACCGAATCATTATTTTCTATGGATTTTCATTCATAAACCAAAAATTACGTTAACTGAGGCATTTGTACACCGAGAGTATTACTGTATGTAGCTCAACCGCCGACACTGGTAAAAGGGTTATATCATTTGGGATATACTGATATGCTATCAAAATTAGAGATGCGTAGGACACCTCGTGGGTCATGGGGCATCCCTGTGGGAGAGCTGAGAGACAAAAATCAAAAAGGAGAGAAAAAGGAGAAAGTGGAGACAGATTGGGGGGGATTAACATTTAATTTATTAAGAAGAAGTCGAGGCGGCGGTGAACTTCTGAAATAGATACAAATTGCTGTTTCCAGGCTTCCGCTATAATCAGGTGTTTTTCAACAGACTTTTTTTCCTTGAAGAAAACCTGTGTTTTGCCAAATTCAGTGCAAAGCAACAAAGTTGCTTCACCTCTTTATCCCCAACAGCTATACTTACCCTTCCTTCACTCCGGCACTGTTCTGGAGCCAGGAGCCAAAAGAAAATACCCATTGCTACCATATATGGAGAAGCATGTGACACAGACATGTGACAGCACTGGGCCAATGAGTGTTATCACAAGGGAATCCACAGTCCCGAGTAAGCTATAACTTCAGTGACTTGTAGCATACTGACTTATCTGGCACTCTCAGCAGATGAACTGAGCAATGCGTCAGTGAAATGAAGGTAATTATATGCCGCTGGGGAGTAGGCCATTAACCACATGCTGCCCAGCCACTGTAGAAATACGGCAGCAGGGCTGGGCAAAACCACGTTTTAAAACGTGCGTTTTCAAAACAGGTAGGGGGCGCGCGCGCGCGCAAGGCGCGCCGCCCTACCTGTCCCCGATCACGGCCGCAGATGTCAGTCGCCGGGTCACAGCCGGTCGTTACCGGCAATTAGCGGCAATCACTGACAGAGAGCACAGCTGCAGTAGCTGTGCTTTCTGTCAGTTCTCCGACAGCTCCTGACACGCTGATCAGGACAGAAGAGTTTATCCGTCCAGATTAGTGTGTCTCCGTGCAGCACACACCCCCGCCCCATAGTAAAACACTCCCCTCACACAGTTAACCCCCTTTCACTGAATAATAAAGTTAACCCCTTCCTCCCCAGTGCCATTAGTAGTGTCAGTGTTTTTTTTTTTTGCACTGATCACTGTATTGGTGTCAATGGGGATATCAGTGACCCCAAGTCAGTTCCCCCCCAGTGTCAGAATGTCCGACGTAGTCCCGCCATAAGTCGCTGATCGCCGCTATTAGTATAAAAAAAAAAAAAAATCCCAGTATCTTTCCCGCCATTTGTTAACGCTATAACTTTCACGTAAACCAATTAATTTACACGTATTGTTTTTTTTTTTTTTAGCAAAGACATGTCGCAGAATGCATTTTGGCAGAAATTTATGACTAAATTAGATTTTTTTATTTTTTTTTTACTGGACATGTTTTATAGCAAAAAGTCCAAAATATGTTTTTTTTCCCTCAAAATTGTCAGCTTTTTTTTTTATAGCGCAAAAAAAAAAAAAAAAAAAAAAACGCACAGGCAATCAAATACCACCAAAAGAAAGCTCAATTTGTGGGAAAAAAAAAAAGGAGGTAAATTTCATTTATGTACCGTATTACATAACCGCGCAATTGTCCATTAAACTAGCGCAGCGCTGTATAACAAAAAAATGGCGTAAATTACAGTATCTATACCATAGTTTGGATGCTATAACTTTCACACAAAGCAATATACACTTACTGGCATTTTCTTTTACCAAAAACATGTAGCAGAATACATTTTGGCCTAAATTTATAACTAACTTTAAATTTACTATAAAGTAAAAAATATCGAAAGTAAAAAATATCGTTTTTTTTCAAAAATTTTGGTCTTTTTTGTTTATAGCGTGAAAAATAAAAAGCGCACAGGTGATCAATACCACCGAAAGAAAGCTCTATTTGTGTGAAAAAAAGGATGTAAATTTCGTTTGGCTACAGCATTGCATGACCGCGCAATTATCAGTTGAATTAGTGCAGCGCCGAGTAGCAAAAAGAGGCCTGGTCATTAAGGGGGGTAATCCTCAGGAGGGCAAGTGGTTAAAAGGAACCTGTTGCTCTTGTGCCACTCAGCAAAACAGATTTAGCCCTGTGTAAGCTTAAACAAGGATCTTACACAGGGCTCAGGACTCTTTCTGCATGCCCCATGAGAGGGTTCCGGGTGCATGAATGGCCAATCATCCCAATCTTTAAGCAGTAGCGCTGTCACATGAAAGAAAGGGAGTAATATGCCCCTATACGCAGAAGTATCAGGTATATTCCTTTATTACTGGGGGGATGAATGAAGTTGCAGGGGAGAGAAGGAGAGGTAAATATGAGCTGCTGGTGGAGCCATATGTGTAAAGTAAAGTAGAAGCATTTCCCTGCAAAACAAGAAAATGATAAGCAGTCCAGAAGTAGATACCCTCTTGCTGACCACATAACACATTCGTACAGCGTCAGGATAAAAAGGGCCTTAAAACCCAGCCATTGCAGATGTGCCTACAGTGGTCTGAGGCTGTGTGCTGAAAGCAGACTCACTGCACGCTTCCAGCTCACTAAACGTTTGCCACCAACAGCTCTTGGTCAGGGCTTCTGATCATGTAACTGCTGTGAAAACTAATCACGGCAGTCAGGTGAACAGAAAGCTGCTCCACCTCTCGCCATTTAGGGCCACTTAAACAGCTGCCAGGGGGTGTCATGAAGGAGATACTGTGCAATATCTGTGTACAGATTTCACACTTTTACTTTGGGACATGTAAAGGTCATAGAAATACATCTTAGAAATACAGATAAAACCTGGAAAAGTATATGTTTCAAAGATTAAGTAAGCTCAGGAATATAATTTGAATGAAATCATCTTTGTTAAAAGTAAACATTTTTATACTTGCCCTTTTCTAAATAAAAAAAAATAAATAAACCCCCACACACAATAAAATGCACAATGGTGTAACACATTTTATACATACCCAGCAGCAAGTGTTGATTCATACGGTCAAAGAGGACACCTCCCAAGATGGAGCCTCCAAAATATCCTAAGGAGCGTCCCACAAAAATGTAGGAAATGTTTCCTACGGTGCTGTCTACATTAGCAGCCAGATCAGGGAAAGTTGGCCCCAAGACAGAAATGGCCATTCCCTAAAAGGGGATAAATAGATTATCAGTCAGCTGTGTGCTATTTATCTGTGCAAACATTACCATTTGACCCTCTTCTTTTTATAGCCATATACAGCCAGGTTAACATTGAAATATCTTTAAAGCTGATGTCTGGACACAAACTTTTTATTTAAATACATTCTTCAGTAGCCACAAAAGGATGTAAATCCATTTTGAATGCACCAAATGCCTTTGCAAACCCAGATATTACCTTGTAAAAGTAGCAGTGACATCATCATTGTGCTGTACATAGTCTGTGCAGAAAGCAGAGCTGTGGGAGGGGCCTACTGGGCCCAACTCACTCCAGGTTGCCTACAGAAAACTACAGAAGAGGGCGGAGACAAGACCAGTCATGCTGCATGAGGAGGGAGAGCAGCAGTAATTGGTCTTTAATACAGGAAGCTTCTGCTCATAGGCAAAGTATCACACTGAATTACTGCACAGATTTGGAAGAAATACACAAAGCACACTAAGATTCTGGAAGAATACACATGACCCTGGTATTTAGATGATATTTACTTATGCCAGAGGTCAAGCTTGAACTCATTAGATAGCCTCAGACTATCAACATTACTCTCTGCCAAGCACATTACAGAGGTTTGTTTGGACTGACTGTTACATAATAACACAAACATATATGATCTGCTATGAAGAATGGAAAGGTTGCTCCATTTTTAGAGGGTTAAAGTTTTCATTGCAATTAAGATTTTGGTAGGCTTGAATGATTACTGCACATTCACTGCAGCTACCCCGGAGGTATATCTGCCCTCACTACATGCCGAGCTTTTACCACAATCCTTAGGGGTAGATTTACTAAAACTGGAGAGAACGCAAAATTTGGTACAGCTGTGCATGGCAGCCAATCAGCTTCTAACTTCAGCTTGTTCAATTAAGCTTTGACAAAAAACCTGGTTTGGTTTCTATGCAGAGCTGCGCCAGATTTTGCACTTTCCAGTTTTAGTAAATCAACCCCAGTGTGTTGCTTCTGTAGATCTTACCAGCTTTATCCACTTCAAGACCGGACACTTTCACTTTTTGAAACTTGTGCTTTCTTTTGGTGTTATGTGATCACAACTGTTATTTTGTATTTTGCTATACAAACAAAAACAATTTTGAAAAAAAATGCTAAACAAAAAAACAAAAAAGTTTTTCTTAGGGTCCTTTCACATGGATGGTTTTTCAAAAAAAAAAAAAAAAAAAAAAAAAACACAGGTGAGTTTACATCAGTTTTTTTCAGCTGTTTACATCCGATTTTGGTCGGATGATATGCCGATTTCAGGTGCGATTTGCAAGACATCTGAAGTCAATTCACAAAAGGAAATAAATAATTAAATGCATGCGGTAATTAAGTAGTGGGCCAGGCATGCGGTATGTACTGGTATCAGTCAGTACTGTCATGGGTTGCTAAGGAATGGGTGGCCGCCGAGTCCCTAACAATTTATAAGTCATCATCTGTCAGCGGGGTTCCCCACTGACAGCTAAATGTTAAAAAAAAAAAAAACAAATAAAGATTTAAAAAAATGATGTGGGGGTCCCCTCCAAAATCCTTACCAGACCCTTATCCAAGCATGCAGCCCGGCAGGTCAGGAAAGGGGGGGGGGAGGGAGCAAGCGCCCCCTACTGAACCATACCAGGTCACATGCCCTCAACATGGGGGCTTCCAGATTCCGATAAGCCCCCTGCCCGCAGGCCCCCACAACCACAGCAAAGGGTTGTGAGGAAGAGGCCCTTGTCCCCATCAACATGTTTCCTTTTTTTGAGCAGTGTATTATAAAAAAAAAAAAATAAAAATTCCAGTATATATACACTGCCATTACCTTTTAGTTCTACTAGAGTTTAGTTCTTCTTTAAATACCGCCAAAAGAACACTCGCTCTAAAAATTATATAAAATTCATTTGAGTACATTGTTGCATGATGAAATGATTGTCCAAGCATCATAGTGCAGAAAGCTGAAAAATGGCCTGCACAGCAAGGTTTCACGTGCCGATCTTCAAGTGGTTAAACAAATCAGATTAAACCCAAAGAAAGGCATTATTTTTGTAGCATCAATGCACACGGATTTACTATATATGCCTATTCACACAATTCCTGAACAATGCTGAAGATTAAGAATCCTGTTATTGTCAAAGTTCCCACCAGAGTGTTGCGTCACTTCTTGTGTGACACTCAAAAAAGTGCAGTCGTTTTTTTGTTTTGTTTTTTTTTAGCAGAATTGGGTGTTTTTGGCTCCATTGTTTTTCAGGCGATCCCAGTTAAGGCTCCATGTACACTGCAGCTGATAAACTCAAGTTCAGGAGCTTTTCTGATGTTTTTTTTCCAGCAACCCCTGAACTCTACCTAATGTTTTCCTATGTGTCCATGTACACATCTTCATTTACAGGTAGTTGAGTTTACAGTCATTTTTTTGAACGCACCAAACTTGCGTTCAGGAGTAGATTTTATCAGTGTTTCAATTGCCAAACGCTTGTAAACACGTGCAAACGCAACTAAACACGTTTATAAGCGTTTGGAAAATTAACTCTATTTCCAGATGCTGTCCAGAGCCTTTTTTCATCAGGAAAAATGCATGCAAAGTGTTTTCCCGGTACTCAAATTGACCTGGTACACCATACTTTGAGGTTTCACATGAAAGAAAATATGTTAGACACTGCTGCAATAATTTCTGCACAGTAATGAGCTGGAACACATCCAAACAACGGAAAAAAAAAAAAAAAAAAAAAAAAAAGCTAATCTCAACAAATACTGCTCTATCTCAAAATGTCTGAAATTGTTCATTTATTACTATTTTCAGTGCATTCTGGCCATTTTGGAAGGTCTCCTGAGGTTATCTTTAAAAAATGCTTCTAAACGCAAACGCTCATAAACGCGGTATGCAAACATGGCTAAACAGATGTTTTTTAAACCCCTTCACGCCTAAGGGTAAAACAAATCTAAATGCCTAAGCACAATTATGCAACGTTGACATGTGTGAGTAAAAACCGTACATATCATCACACAGCCAGGGTGGATTTGATTTAAATCAAACTGATTTAAATCACGATTTAAATCACTAGTCAGTAAGGCTTGATTTAAATCATAGTTTTCTACATAAAGACTAATTCTTGCTGGTATAACTTTAATATGCAAGTAGATGAAGATTTTTAGAATAACTTTTTCATATTAGTTTTTTTATCCCCAGTTTAATATATTTGGACAACTTTTCTGTTGTATTTAGGAAGGAGAAAAATAATCATTACCTTAATAATAACAATTTAAATAGATTTATTCATCTGAAACAATAACATTCCAGCATTTGTTATTTGCTTAAACAAACATCCATGTTTGTTAACTAAATTTGGCTAAACAAAATATATATATTTTAAGAAACGTAGACTGTCAGCCCCTTCCTCCTCACACTTCGTTTCACTTTCTTCTTGTGCAGATGTGCAGATCTATTCCACTCCAAACAATCAGAAAAATATTGTTTCTATTCTATTCACTGAACTTCTTGAAACTTAGCACTGAAGGGGTTGATTCTGTATTCATAGGTTTGTAGAAGTTAGGATTAAGGTCTTTTTCTTAACTCTGTTCATGTTATAACATTTTTGCTGTGAAGAAGAGGCATGTGATCTCCGCTGAGTCAAATTCAGTTTTGACAACTGCAAAAGTAAACCAAGCATCTGTGATAATATCTTGTAGGCAGAGAAACTGCCCAATAATCTTACAAAAACCTCTGGAAGAGCATGACATTGTGAATGGATTAATGGCATTTATTTACCAAAAAAATTAAACATATACAGCCTTATTCTACATAATTAAAAAACAAATCTTTATTTCATGATGGAATAACCTTTGGATGGTAATATATTTTCCTCAAAAAGCATTTTATTTTAAAAAATCTGATTTAAATAAAAAAAAAAATCAGTTTTTAATTTTTTAAAAAATCATTGATTTTTATCCACCGCGATCACAACTAACTTGTACATCCAGGTGAATTATACCGCATTTTTTTTCAGGACAAATTGGGTTTTCATTTGGTGGTAAATGGTAATGGATATCTCCTGATTTTTATTTTTATTATCAAAGGAAAACTGGTCCAAAATAGTAAAGAAAACAAAATCATTTTTTTTTATTTAGCTGTGTGTTTCTTGTTACTACCATAACCTACCACCAAAGAACAACCCAAAATAAATTCTCCAGCTCGACGATCGCAGCGATACCATATATGTGTGTGCTGCTTGTACCCGTAGTACAGCCCAGAAACAATAGTGCGCATTTTGTTTTTACCTAAAAACACACTGACATTGACACCAATATCATTTTTTTTTTTAAATCCTGACCTTTGACCCTGACCCAAACAATAAACCTGGCACTGAACTAGATCAAACACTGATCTAGGTATTTTTTTTCTTTATTTTATTTAATATTTATTTTTATTTATTTTTTTACAAAACTTTTTTTCTCTCTATGCCAGGAGATAGAGATACAATGTAGCTCTCTTCTCCATTCATAGAGAGAGAAAAAAAAACCAAGGGGGCTGGGCTATACAGTGACTGATCACTGTCATAGCCAATCAGAGGCTAGCACAGTGATCATGTGACCCGGAATCGGGGGTCCCGATTATTAGCCTGGGACCTGGGTCTTTCAGTGACACTGCGGTCTTTGCGCTGGGAGCACGCAGTGCGGCGCGCTTCCAGCACAAAAAGAGGTATGCAAATATGTGGCCCCACGGAAAAAAAAGCCCAGTTTCGTGAGGCCACATATTTGTGTGACGTCGGAGTCAAGGGGTTAACCTACGTTTCCATCATTCAGAAGTGTTTTCCAAACGCCCCGTCTACATGGAGCCTAATGCTCCAGTCACATCTGAAATACGCAATGAGTTTATCACTTTTTTTTTTTTGCAGGACAGCCCATTGACTTGCATCAAAAGCTCAAGTTCCTTTTTTTTCTGGCACTGAGGCAATTGCATTTAGCTATGAATGATTTTACGTGATTGTTGCACAACTGCTACCTGTGTTTGGTGTGCCATTAAAAAAATCATGGCACCGCAAGTGCAACAAGTGTTTTACGTTTCCAGAAACTTATGTTCCAGCCCACGATTCTATGTCGCTTAGGTGTGAATGCTGCCAAGGCTGCATTCCCTGTAACAGGAATGAACATTCTCATTTGCATTTGTTTCCACGTTTTGGAGTGTTTTCTGCTCAGTGCACAGCCCATTCCCATGAATGGGCTGGCCTATGCGGGACCAACACCCCAAAGAAGCTTCAAAAACCTTTTTTGGAGTAGAGTATGGTGTGATTTTTCACTGCATGTTTTGTTGCATTTGCCAAGTGCCAAAACGCACGCACACCCGCAATTAATGGCACCACAAGCGAGACCTGAGATATGCTTTTGCAGTGTGTTTCCAAAATGTGTGTTCTCTGTACACTTTGTAGCTGGGGCAGACTGACAACTCATGGGGCCCCCGGGCAATAGGAGATCATGGGGCCCGTGTCCTTGCCCAAACTCAAAAACGCCTATGAAAAAGGTACCAGGGGCAACTCATGGGGCCCCCTACTGACCCTGGGCCCTCGGGCAGTGCCACCCCTGCTTTGTAGCGTGTTCAGGAAACACCAAGTGTTAAACGAACCAAAAAGTTTATGGGACCAAAAAGGCTGTTCCTGCTAGGTGTGATTGGCAGGTTGAGAGGCATGCTATGAATCACCTGTAGGGGACAGCCCACAGGTATACCACCTAATCCTGCCAGCCGCTGGGATGTTCCATGTAGAAGACATTGATGGAGAGAGCGCAGCACATGACTGACTTCCTCTTACCAGCCCCAGGAAGGCAGCACACATGACTGTGGTGATACAGCAGCGCAGGCCCCGACATTGCTGCTCTCCGGACACCAGGCGCACCTCGTCCTCGGCTCCCCTCCTTCTCCCCTCATCCTCCAGCTCCTCGGCTCTCAGCCTGGCGGCCGGACGCTTCTCGAACAGCGTGTCCTCTTCCTCCTCGTCCCCGGCCTCGTCGCCATCCGCCCGTGCAAAGCGCACCTGTTTCTTCTTCTTGCCGTTCCCCGTCATGTCCCCTCTAGTAAGCGGCGCAGATGAGTGCTGCAGGCCTCATGTCTAGACCAGAATCCGGCTCCAGCCTCCTTTCCCCGGGAACAACCCGGATGTAACAGGCGAGCAGTGACAGGCCGGGTGTACCTGAATAGGAGGAGGAGCGGGGAGAGGCGGCCCCTTCTTCTACTTCTTCCCGGTCTTCGGGTTTCCTTGGCTGGCGGCCTCTGCCTGTATACCTGGCTGTTTCCTCACATACCTAGAGCTGCCGCCTCTTCAGTCCGACACAGCGAGCTCTCTGCTATAGCCAGTGGTTTGTATTTTCGTTTTGAAAAGAGTAGGGATTCCATTTTATTTAACCACTTGCCCTCCAAAGGATTTACCTTCCTTCCTGACCAGGCCATAGGGCGATGCGTTACTTTGACAATTGCACGGTCATGCAACGCTGCACCCAAATTAAATTTACGGCCTTTTTCCCCCCTCAAATTAAGCTTTCTTTCGGTGGTATTTGATCGCCTGTGCAGTGTTGATATTTTGTACTATAGGAAAAAAAAGACAAATTTTGGAAAAAAATATATATTTTTCATATTAACCACTTGCCTACCGGGCATTTCTACCCCCTTCCTGTCCAGGCCAATTTTCAGCTTTCAGCGCTGTCACACTTTGACAATTACGCGGTCATGCAACATTGTACCCATATGAAATTTGTATAATTTTTTTGAGACAGATAGAGCTTTCTCTTGGTGGTATTTAATCACCTCTGGGTTTTTAATTTTTTGGTAAACAAACCAAAAACAACTGCAAATTTTGAAAATAATCACGTTTTTTCTTAGTTTTTGTTATTAAATTTTGTAAATATGTGATTTTTCTCCTTCACTGATGTGCACTAATGAGGCTGCAGTGATGGGCACTGATAGGCTGCACTGATGGACACTGATGAGTCATTGACAGGCATCACTGATGGGCACTGAAAGGCAGCACTCATATATGGCACTGATAGGTGGTACTGATGGGCAGCACTGACGCGCACTGATAGGTGACACAGAAAAGCAGCTCAGATGGGCACTGATATGTAGCATTGATGTGCACTGGTAGGCACTGATATGTGGCATTGATGGGCAGTGGCAGGTGGCATTGATGAGCACTGACAGCTGGCATTGATGGACACTTGACAGGTGGCACTGCTGGGTCTCCACTGATCATCAGGGCCCTGATGATCAGTGTACATGTCCCCTCCGAGGAATGCCGATTACCGGCTTTCCTCTCCTCTCGAGCTGTCAGCGTGACAGCTCGTGAGGAGAGAAATGCAGATAATCGGCATTTCCCTATTTATGTGTGATCAGCTGTGATTGGACATAGCTAATCACATGACCGAGCTGACATCTTCAGCTCTTTCCGTTGATTGGTGATCCGCTGGTTCCGAGGGACACCTCGCACCACCTATCGCCACGCTGCGTGCTCCTGGAGCTGCACACACGTGGTTAGAGTGGGAGGACGTATGACGTCCTCCCAGAATGAGAGAACCACCTTGCGCCCGTCATTACCTTATATGGCGGGCAGGAGGCGGTTACGGCCTTTCCCCCCCCATAAATACAGCTTTCTTTCGGTGGTAGTTGATCGCCTCTGCGTTTTTTATTGCTATAAACAAAAAAAGGCCGACAATTTTGAGAAAAAAAACATTTTTGACTTTTTGTTATTAACCACTTGCCCTCCAGAGCCCTCCACACCCCCTTCCTGACCAGGCCCTTTTTTTGCAATACGGCGCTGCGTTATTTTAAGTGACAATTGCACAGTCATGCAACGCTGCACGCAAATGAATGTTACATCTTTTTCCCCTACAAATAGAGCTTTCTTTCGGTGGTATTTGATCACCTGTGCATTTATTTTTGGCATTATAAACAAAAAAAAGACCGACAATTTTGAAAAAAAAAAATTTTTTTTGACTTTTTGCTATTATCCGCTTGCTCTCCTGAGGTTTTACCTCCCTTCTTGACCAGGCCATATGATGCTGCGTTACTTTGACAATTGCGCAGTCATGCAACGGTGCACCCCAAATGAAATTTACAGCCTTTTTCCCCCCACAAATAAAGCTTTTTTTCGGTGGTATTTGATCGCCTGTGTGTTTTTTATTTTTTATCACTATGAATAAAAAAAGACCGACAATTTTGAGGAGAAAGCTATTTTTGACTTTTTACTATTAACCACTTGTCCTCCTGAGGATTTACTCCCTTCATGACCAGGCCATTTTTTGCGTTACTTTGACAATTGCGCAACGCTGCACCCAAATGAAATGTGCCTCCTTTTTTCCCCACAAATAGAGCTTTCTGTGGTATTTGATCACCTGTGCATTTATTTTTGTCGTTATAAACCAAAAAAGACTGACAATTTTGAAAAAATTTACATATTTTTGAACGACTTTTTGCTATTAATCACTTTCCCTCCAGAGGATTTACCCCCCTTCCTGACCAGGCCATTTTTTGCTTTATGGTGCAGCTTTACTTTAACTGACAATTGCACAGTCATGCAATGCCGCACCCAGATGAAATTTATGTCCTTTTTTTTCCCCATGAATTGAGCTTTCTTTTGGTGGTATTTGATCGCCTGTGTGGTTTTTTTTGCGCTAAACGTAAAAAAAGACTGTCAATTTTGAGAAAAAAAACTATATTTTGGACTTTTTGCTATTAAACATGTCCAGTAAAAAAATCAAAAAAATCAAATTTCTTCATAAATTTAGGCCAAAATGTATTCTGCTACGTCTTCGCTAAAAACAAATCCCAATATGTGTAAATTAATTGGTTTACGTGAAAGTTATAGCGTTTACAAATGGCGGTATAGATACTGGGATTTTTTTTTTTTTTTTGCTTCCTACTAGTAATGTCAGCGATCAGCGACTTATAGCGGGACTGCGGCACGCATTCTGACACTGGGGGGAACTAACTTGGTGTCACTGACATCCCCAGTGACACCAATACAGAGATCAGTGCTAAAAAACAGCACTGACACTATACTAAAGGCACTGGGCAGGAAGGTGTTAACGTGAGGGGCGATCAAAAGGTTAACTGTGTGTAGGGAGTGTTTTACTAGGGGGCGAAGGGTGTGTTCTTTACTGTAAGCACACTGATTGGGATGGCTGTACTGTGCACAGCCATCCCGAGCAGTGTGCCCAAGCTGACAGGGAGGAAGACTAAACAAAACAGTCTTTCTCCCCGTCGGTGATTGTCAGTAATTACCGGCCGGGACCCATTGATCGACATCCACGGCTGCAAAAGGCGGCTCACGCGCACCCCCTACCTGGAAATGAAAAACACACACACGATTTTGCGCACCTGTGCCACCATGCAGCAGTATATCTGCTATGCAGCAGCGGGGAAGCAATTTTCAGCTTTCAGAATCTCTCACACTTTGTGCACTTGTGCGCCATGGAGCAGTATATCTGCTATGCAGCAGCAGGGAAGCAATTTTCAGAGATTGAGATTTATTTTGGTGGTACTTAATCACCACTGTTTTTTTTATTTTTTGCGAAATAAGCGAAAAAAAAAGGCAAAAATAAAAAAAAAATTTTTTTTTTTTTAGTTTCTATTAAAAATTTTGTAAATAAGTAAATTTTCTTCACACATGTAGGCCAGCATTTTTACTGCTATATTTCTTTGGTAAAAATAACCCAAATCAGGGTATATTATTTAATCTGTGTGAAAGTTAGGCTGGCCATACACTATACAATTTTCTGTCCAATTTCTGCCCAATTTCCTTTAGATTTACCTTCAACTGTGTAGTGCAAGGGCCTGCCTAATTGGACACAATTGAAAGTGTTGTTAGGTTTGACCTCCTATTATATGGTTTTTGGTAAAGCTAAACCAAAAATCTCAAGAAAATTGTATAATGTATGGCCAGCCTTCAAGTCTAACAAGCTATGGTACCAATCATTGAAAATTGATTACACCTGATGTGGTGACAGTCTATCTCATTTCTTGAGGCCCTAACATGCTAGGAAAGTACAAATGACCCCTTTGTGGAAAGTAGACAGTCCAAGCTATTTAGTAAGAGGCATGGTGAATTTTCTTAAGTTGAAATTATTTTCCATTAATTCTTGAGAAAATGAAGAAATTATTTTTTTTTTTTAACACAAAATTATCATATTGAGTCATTCTGCTCCTCCTCCTGAGTATGGCGATACCACATTTGTGAGACTTTTCCATAGCCTGGCCACATACAGAGGCCCAAGATCCAAGTAGCACCGTCAGGCATTCTAGAGGCATAAATTACACTTTTAATTCCCTGACTACCTATCACATTTTTGAAGGCCCTGGAACACCAGGACAATGGAATTACCCACAAAAAGACCCCATTTTGGAAAGCAAACACCCCAATGTATATTCTGTGAGGCATAATGAGTCTTTTGAACGTATAATTTGTTTCCTCAAGTTTTTTAAAAAATGTGGAAAGGAAATTAAAACATTTCTTTTTACAAAACATCAATTCATAAGATGCTTTTAACATATAGCATGTACATACCAAGAATAACACCCCAAAATACATTCTGCTAATTGTCCTGAGTTTGGCGATAGTACATTTAATTTCCTGGCTACCTATCACATTTTTGAAGGCCCTGAAGCACCAGGACAATGGAATTACCCACAAAAAGACCCCATTTTGAAAAGCAAATACCCCAACATATATTCTATGAAGCATAATGAGCATTTTGAACGTGTTTTTTTTTCCACAAGTTTTTGAAAAATGTGGAAAGTGAAAACAATTTTTTTTTTTTTTTACAAAAAGTTGTCAATTTATAAGATATTTCTACAAACACAGCATGGACATAACAAGAATTACACCCCAAAATACATTCTGCTACTCCTCCTGAGTATGGTGATACCACATGCATGAGACTTTTTCACATCCTAGCTAAACAAAGGGTAAACAGAAGATTACCTGTGGTTGTAGTAGAGAAGTTGTCTGCAGAGGACCAGGACGCAGGCAGAGATGTGGTCAGCAATAGCCAAACGAATAGTCCAGGCAGCAAG